GCAGTGGCTGGCACTGTATGGAGACTGGGAGTGGTCACACGTGATCTCTGAAGGTTGTGGCTTCCTCAACAACATGTGTTTGTGGTTTGCAGATGACGGGCTGGGCTAAGAATTCGAATTGTCATGCATAAACACTACGTGTAAATTGACACGTGTCCAACCTGGTGGGGCTGCTGGTGATGGCATGTCCGCATCCGTCAGGAATTCACCTTCTTGCCAGAGTGCAGTGAGGCTGCCACATCTGGAGAACGGCATCCACCAAGGTGAGAACAGCACCTTGGTCCCCGCCAAGCAATGAAGGCGCTCCTGTGGGAGCTGGCTGGCTCATCGCGCAGCGGGGAGCGAGTGCTGAGCCCCGAATGCTCCCGGCAGACACAGGCCGCACTCAGCCAGCTCCCAGCACGGGGCTCCCTGCTGCAGAGCAGCTTTCCAGGGGAGAGAAAAATGCCCCGGCTCCCTGGGAGGTCATCAAAGCCAGGGAACAGGCGGAAGGGGAGCTTTCACAGGGAGGCTCCTGGGCAGCTTGACCGCGGGAAGTGTGGGAAAACGGGTCGCACTCAGAGGGTCGTCAGGAAGGTCACAGAAAACAGTGCGTGCGAAAGAAATCCTTTTCAGTACAAAGCCGCATCCGCTCAGTGTCAGGGTCACCATGGTTACTGTTCCTAGGAAACTGCCACCGCCTTACTCACTGCAGACATTTACTGAGGGGCCGCCCGGTGCCAGGCAGCACGCTGAGGTGCTGAAGAAACAGGCCTAATTGATGCCTCGAGGCTTCGCTCAATTAGAAAGACATGAAACGTCAGGACTCAGGCCGTCTGAAGAGGCCACTGAAATGTCTAGACAGCAGGGGGACGGAGGGTCAGGCGCTGCGCACAGGGCGCCGCTGCCACCCGTTCTGCTGCGCCTCCAAGCTGCCCTTTGAGAAAGTACCATCCTCTCCGGTAACCATGGCAGCGTCCAGCTCTGACACCACACACCCAGGAAGAGGCAGCGGGTAGAGCCCTCCTGAGGGGCACGCGCTTCAAAGGGGCTTCTGTGCCTGTCTAAATAGTCCCCCCACCCCCGGCCCCACCCTTTGGTTCTTGACCATTAGTGACCTGCCTGGGCGCTGGGCAGGCTGACCAAGGTGGGCATGGGGTGGGGGCGGGCAGACCATGGCAGACCAAAGGCCAGAGTTGTCACCTGAGACCGAGGGTCTCAGGCAACTTAAGAGAAGTTGCTCATCTCTTGGCCAGCCTGTGTGCTCAGGGCTGTTCCCACACACAGAGCCCCCCGCTCCATGTTCATTCCGTCCTTAGCATCTTGCTTCATGGGCTGCCCGTCGGGAACTTGACAAGTGGTTTCTAAAGGGTGGCCCGGGCCCAGCCCCAGGGACCCTGAAGCCTGGGGCATCATGGGAAAGTCGTGGAATGTGGAGACATGAAGACCTGGGAGTCTTTTAGGCCCAGCATCCAAACGAACAGGAGAAGCCCCCGCAGGGGCAGCGGGGCTCGGGGTAGGGACACGGATCACAGGAGCCACAGAATACAGCGCTCTGAGGGGTGTGGACAGTTCCCCTCATCCCACCCTCACCTCCATTCACCCCCCACACCAGTGCTCGACAACTTTCCTAACACCCTGGCCTCAGTGTCCCACCTGCCTTGTCACCAAAGCCTTGGGCCTAAATCCACTCCCTGTTTTCTCCTTGGCCAGGAGCCAGTGGCCAGCCAGTGACAGTGCGACGCCCAGGGGGCCGGCTCTCCCATGGGTCTGGGCAGAGGCCTCAGGCCTCGCAGGCATGACCGTGCCCCAGACCTCCTCTTCTGCCTGGGAGGGGTGTCAGGACACCCCAGCACACTGTCCAGTGGACGGTTTTTTATTCCTCTGCATAACCAGCTCTGCTTCCTGCAAGGTCATCTGACCCCTGACCTCTTGAAAGGCCTGTTAGTAGGTGAGGAGCTGGGTCTCGCAGCAGCTGGGCGGGGAGGGGCCTCGGCCGCCAGACAGGCCAGCGCTGTGCCCCCTTAGCCAGGGGCAGCACCAGGCAGATGGGATCTCATTTCATCCCAGCAAAACTGGGGAGCAGGCTGAAGTCACTCATCCATCCACTCACAGAAGCTGCGTGCCTGCTATGTGCCTGTACTACTTAGGGGCTCTGCCTGTGCGACTGACATTCTAGGGCTAAGAGGGGCGGGGGAGGCAGACTTAATAAGTAAATGATGCATTTCGGGGCCTCCTCACCTTTTTCTGCCTCCCCTAGCCCCCAGGCATTGGCTTGAACATACATCCAATGCTTACCAAGCAGACACTGTGTTCTGGGCCCTGATTAGGCACTGATTAGGCACTGATTAGGCACTGTGGACATGATCAAGGTCCCCGTGTCCTCCCACCACACCCAGTGCAGATGGGCAGGGCCTGCACATACACCGTCCAAGGGGGTGTACTCAGCGCTGTGGCCCAGGCACCCACCAGGGGCAGCGGACAGGCCCCAGCCCAACCCTCCCGCTGCCCCGGGCATCCCCTCCTTGCTCTAGGCTGACTTCTCTTTCACCCCTGTCCTCCCGGAACATGCCCCCTGGACAGCCTAGGGTACCCCACCCTGTGGATCCCTTTGGAGCCCGACTAAGGGGGAGTATCCCTAACGTGGTGATGGATTAACTGACTGAATGCTTGTTTGTGTCTTATTTTCCAGACAATTTGTTTACATGCAAACTGTGTTTAGTGCCTGGTAACAAAGGGAGGCTGACCTCACTGTAAGGATTGCTGCTCGCCTAGCCCTGGGGCAGGGCAGGGAGGACAAGGTTCGGGAAGGCCTAGCCACTGAGGTCACAGGCTCCTCCTCCTCCCTCTCACAGGCCTGGTCCTCAGGACCTTCATCCTGACTTACGACAGACTGGGTGTCTGGCTGGTCCTGGCAAAGGCTCCTTTGGGGTCACGGCATTTTAGGACGCAATACAGCCTCCACGGTCTACTAGTCCCAGGGTGTCAGTGTGGGCCTGAGCGTGCCCTGAACTCTGTGAACGAGTATGAGCGTGCTCCAGTGCATTCCCTTTCCCCTGAAGACCCTGTAGCTCTCTTCAGATTCTTACGGCCAGACAGGTGGCCGCCATTTTAAGTGATGGGCTTGAGGGCCCTTAGAAAGAAAGTGACTTCCTAGAAACGAGCCAGGTACGAGGGGAGAGGAGGAAGCCGGGGAAGGAGGGGAGGGGAGGGGAGGGGTCCAGGCTCAGTGGTGCCCCTGCCACTGTGCCCACCTCAGGAAATCCCTGTCTCTGATGCAGGGCATCTGTTTTTGATTGGCAGTTCTAGCCTACATCCAGCCTCACCTGCTCTGTGGCCCCATGGGCAAGGTGGCTTTGTGGAAGCACCTCGGAGAGCTGGAGGCGGCCCCTGCTCCATCATCCAGCTGTTCCATCACCGCCCCTCCATCACCCAGCCCCTCCATCACCCAGCCCCTCCATCACCCAGCCCCTCCATCACCCAGCCCCTCCATCACCCAGCCCCTCCATCACCCAGCCCCTCCATCACCCAGCCCCTCCATCACCCAGCCCCTCCATCACCCAGCCCCTCCATCACCCAGCCCCTCCATCACCCAGCCCCTCCATCACCCAGCCCCTCCATCACCCAGCCCCTCCATCACCCAGCCCCTCCATCACCCAGCCCCTCCATCACCCAGCCCCTCCATCACCCAGCCCCTCCATCACCCAGCCCCTCCATCACCCAGCCCCTCCATCACCCAGCCCCTCCATCACCCAGCCCCTCCATCACCCAGCCCCTCCATCACCCAGCCCCTCCATCACCCAGCCCCTCCATCACCCAGCCCCTCCATCACCCAGCCCCTCCATCACCCAGCCCCTCCATCACCCAGCCCCTCCATCACCCAGCCCCTCCATCACCCAGCCCCTCCATCACCCAGCCCCTCCATCACCCAGCCCCTCCATCACCCAGCCCCTCCATCACCCAGCCACTCCATCACCCAGCCCCTCCATCACCCAGCCCATTCATCACCCATCCACTCCATTACCCAGCCCCTCCATCACCCAGCCACTCCATCACCCAGCCACTCCATCATCTAACCACCCCATCATCTAGCCCCAGCACTGACTCAGCTACCTTGGGCTCTGAATTTACCAGAAACATGCTCAGCTTTTGGGGCTATCTGTGCCCAGGACATTGTGCCCCTTGGGACCCTGGAGCAAGGCAGTCTGGTCTCAGAGAACACGCATAACCTGCGAGGCTGCCTTTGCAAGCACCACCGCATAGAGATAGACCACTGGAGTGAGCCACCGTCCCATGCTGACCTGCGACTCCCCTGGTCCAAGGCAGACATGCTGGCTTGTCTGCACATGGAGACCACGGGACAAGCTGCGCTGTCAACACCCAGGGTCGGTTGTCAGGGAAATTAGATGCACACGCCTTCTCCCCGGCAGGGTGGCGCTGGCGCCGGACATTGGCACCAGCCCAGGGAGTGAGGAAGAAACAAAGCCTCAGACTGGAACTGCAGATTGATCCAGAAAGCACCAGCCTCTTTTCTGGTCTGTGCTTATGTACGATGTTTGCAGATCTGACCTGTGATCAGCGGGAAAAACTCTGCTCTCGGGCAGGTCCACAGCCTCTGTGTGATGGGACCTCAGTGTGACAGAGGGAGAGGCACTGGGGCAGAGTTCATGGCCACCCCCTCCAGAGGCCCCCAGGCAGCAGCCAGGTGACTTCCTTGCTCTATTGTTCTGTTTGTTTGTTTTTCTACCAAAAGAGGGTTGTAGGAGCATTGGGTGGGTGACCTGTGAGGCCCCTCCCAGTGTGAATGTTCTTCTAGCCTTTTCATTGGTTGGTTGGTCGGTTGATTGATTGGTTCGTTCATTCACTCATTCATCCATCCACCCATTCGATATGCTAGCTGTTGCATTTGAAGTCTGTTTGTGGCTTATCTGGAGGCAGAGACCTAGAGCAGAGCACCCCTCCCCCCCACGCTCCCCTTGAGCCCCAGGAGTCAGGAGGGGCGGCGTTGGGCCCCAGCTCACAAGCAGGAATAGGGGCACCTCTTGCTATAGCGACAGCAGTAGAACTGCCACTCCCGATCCAGCACCGACTCGAAGTAGCGGCTCTGGAAGCCGGCCACCAGCCCGTTATTGGAGCAAGTCTGGTACCTGGAGGGAAAGAAAAACCAGTGAACGAGTGACAGTGACACGCCAGCAGCCCCTTCCCGGCCCAGCTCCCACCGAGGCCAAGTCAGCGCTCTCACTGACCTGGATTCCTAACAATTTATTCCATTTTTATGCAAATAATAAAGACTTTCTTGTATTTGCAGAAATGACATATGCTCACCATTAAAATTCAAATGATTCAGACTCTTTCAACTGAAGGAAATTGGGGGATGCTGCCCCTGATAGCCCTCAATGAATACATTGTTAGGTGGAAGAATGCTTAAATGGGTGGATGGAGAGGCATCTAGAATTTACAAATGCAAGATTGTCTTATTATTCATGTCATTTAAAATAAAAGATAATATGCTTCATTTTGCTTGACTGTAAAGTTAAAAGAAGACAAAGAGAAAGGCAGTGAATGGGTGACCTTCACATGAACTTTTCTTCTGCTCAAGAGCAGAGCCTGGAGCCGGAGCACAGGGTGCCCCTTCCCTGGCCCCGAGCAGCAGGCAAAGCTCGCAGAGAGCGCTGGGCAGGGGCGGCCCGTGGGGAGCTGGGAACACACCCCAGGGGTTCCTACTTACCCAGGAGTCTCCTCGCTACCGACTCAAGTCTGAGTCTTCAGAGAAGGTCACCCCTGCTCTCTGGTCCACAGCCCTCCCTGTGGCCCATGAATTCTCAGTGTGCTGCTCTGGCTGGGTCACTGCAGGTCTAGGAATCGGCCCCCTGGATCGTCATAGCTCCTCCCTGACTAGATGCTGGCTTCCAACAGTGTGCTCACTTCTTCCTTCTTCTGTCTCCAAAACGACTGCCTCCTTCTCCTGCCCCAGTCCCACTGGTACCATGATGTTTGCTACTTTTCCATGAGAAGAGGGTGCTGCTCTCAGGAGCCTGGGGGACCCGCCCCACCTGGTGCATGAGGTCTCCCAGCCCTTCCAGGTGAACAGGCCTTCAGCCCTCTGGTCCTCAGTGCTCCTGCCCACCTGGCCACCAGCCGCGGCCCCTCTTGTGTGTGCCACCCTCTTGCACAGCATCTCAGATAACGCTGCCCATGAAGACTGAGAACTTGTGGGGAGTTGGATAAATGAACAGAACTCCCTCCCTGCTCTGGCCCTTGCCTTCACATGTTGTACTGAGTTGCCCTGGAGTTTGGTAGTGGCCAACACAATGAAATTATTCCTTCTAGAATGGATCTTTGAGGGGGTCTGTTTCCACACCCCACTATGTGGGAGCAGCGTAGCAGAGCAGGTAAGAGCATGGACTATGCTGCTGGACTGGAGTGCCAACCACTCTCGTCTAGGCCACTTTGGCAGGCTTCATGCCCTCTAATAGCCTCAGTTTCTCATCTGTAAAATGGGGATAATAATAATAGCACATCTGTATATATAAAAGGCTAAGTGACTGACCATCCGTCAATGCAACCACCCGACTGACCGACTGGCCAGTACCATCTGTCATGCCCTGGCAACTTAAAAATAAACAAAATAAACATTGACTCGCGCATGCATGATACATATAAAGCTCTCGCTGGTGCCAATTGCACACGTGTGTTTCGACCTGTCATTGTCCATCGTGACTTTGGCTGACACTTCTATTATAAAGAAAGGGCAAATAGTGATATTAAAATATTTCTTCTAATTAACTTCCTTTCAATGTGCACAAATCCATGCACCGGGCCACTAATACTTAGTAAGGTTATTTTAAAGACCAGACATACAATTCTGGAGACAATGTCATTTAAGGCTTAGTAAGTTTTCTATTATTGTGACTATACTTTCGTTTAGTCCACATGGACTATGCTCGTGAGTATGCTCTGTGAATGCCACCTTTGGCTCTCAGTCTGCAGTGAGTGGAGAACTGTGGGCTCAGGGCATTTCCTGAGAGGTGTTCCTTAAAACAAGCTCTTGGCTTTGGCTGTCTCAGGGGTTGACACACACCTGCTCTGTGACATAGATGCTCTAGTGTGACGTGTGGCTCCCGGGAGACGGTGAAGTCCATGAGGGGAAAAGATCTTCAGTCTGCATTCCCCATGGAGCCTGGCACTGGGGCCCAATAAATCTTTAACTGAAGAATGAAAGAACGAGCGACGAATCCAGGCCTCGTCCGTTATCAGAGGCAGAACTGACTTTGAGGAGCTCATCACTTGTGGAGGGTGGCTCCCAGGTGGCTAAGTGATACGGGCTGCGGGAGGTGCAGCAAGTAAACAAAGCTTGATCAGGTGCATGTAACTGAGCAGATTCGAAACCCACGAGAACGTTGTAAACATCTTGACCAGGCCCTTACTTTGCCTTGTGGAATCCGGCTATAAAATAAAGACTCGGCTTGCAGGCCATGGCACTGTCTCTCTAATCAGCGGGTAGTGTCCCACCTAGCCCCAGCTTTATTCTCTTGTCTGTCTTCTTTAATCCTTCATCACCACCCCCACAGGTTCACCCATGGCTGCGCTGGTGCAGCACAATCACTCAAATCCAGGAAGGACCCTGAAACTCACTCCAACGAGTTTCCAGGGGCTCAGCAAGGGATCCATCTTCTGCCGCCACCTTCTCCCTCCAGACAAAGCCTGCCCTGGGACGAGGCTGCAGCATGAATACAGCTCCGGCCATTCTCTCCTCAGGTCCCCTACCTTCCAATCAACCTCCACTTCTTTTAAAGCATCTTATTTAACAAGACTCCCCTAAACATTCAGGCACCAGCTGCAGGGTTGCACACACAGGCGCCAGGCAGGTGAGAGCAGTGAGGGCACCTGTGAGTGGAAGGGGCTCAGGCAGCCAGAGGGCCTTGCACTGCTCACGTGATTCAAAGCCAAGTTTTAAAAGGAGCCCCTGTGGGGAGCCAGCAGACGTGTCCCAGCCCTGCCTTAACGAGCCGTGTGGGGTCTCACCTCAGGCACCATGAGGGCTCAGGGAAGTGAGGGCCGAGATAAGAAGGGTCAGGAGTCAAGCTCAGATTTTTCTGGGGCCAGAGCTCCCGTCCACGAGCTCTCGGGGAGCACAGAAGGCTGCCCCGAGATTGTCCCGCTTGTGGCCCACCCCCGGCCAGGCTGTCTCCCTGTGTTCTGTGTTCCTTGTTGAGTCTGGGCCGAGGGACGGAGGCCAGGACTGTGTGTGCACACACCTGGTTTTGTTGGTGAGGTCCTCGGGGAATGGTAGTCTCCCCTCCAGTTTCTGCTGGTCTCCATCCAAACATATCTAAAGCCCAAACTCTTAGCAAGTTCGGGGTGGTGCTGGGGGCGGGCATAGGACGGGGTGGAAGAAGTCAGAGCCGTCTTGGTAGAGAACTTTCCTAACCCCACAGCGCAGCTCTCTTTCTCCAGCTCCACACACAGATGTGTCTGTGCCAGGGCTGCTGGCCCATCCCCAACCCACTGCGGAGGAGGTGCAAGAGCAGCTTTGCCCATCGTCCAGCCCAGCGAGGGACCCCTGTGTGAGGGAGACCATGTTGCGTAGCCTCCCTTACCCACAAGGCTTCTCCCCCACCCGGCTTGATGAGAGCTTGAATTCCACTCAGAGATTCATTCTTTTAAGGAATTCGTTGGCTGCTGTTAATTTTGTTTCCCCCAGATTAATACTCTGGGTTTCTTTCAGGCATGAAGAACTTGGCCCACAGTCTCAGGAAGGTCGACTCTTTCGACAAAGGTTTGTTGGAACCTCCTCTCTGCCCGGGGCTGTGCTTGGTCTGGAAGCCTTTCCTGAGGCCTGTATGTGAGCAATGCCACGGCAATGCAGGGATTGGAGAGAAGTTGATTGGTACTGAAGACAGAGGTCAGAGTAAGAGGCTGGGGGTGGGGCGTGTCAGGGGAGTGACAACCCATAGAGACAAACCCAGCCTGGGGCAAGTCTGCCCAGTCTCGGGGCTCTGAAAGTCCTGGATTCTGGTCTTGAGCTGAACAAAATGACTCCATGCCCATCGCATCCTTTCTGCTGACATGGATGCCACTTCTGCAAAATCAGGGCGACAGTTCCTAGCCTGAGAGTTCCACGAGAAGGTTCAACAGATGCTGCATGTCAAGTGTCAACCACAGAGCCCAGCGCTAAACATGTTACTCCAAGGTGGGCGGAATAGTGGTTCTTATTATATTATCGTAAATAGTTGTAATTAAATAGAAAGAGAAGCCACATCCTCGTCTCCAAAAGCCACTTTCCGCTGGGGCCTGCACAGGAATGGTCAAGGTCGAACCCTCCCAGTGGGACAAGGGGCTGAGCCCCAGAAAGTAGCATCAGAGGATAAAACACCTGGAGGCCTTGCTCCTCGCGAGGTCTTTCTGCCTTGACCATCCAACTCATCCTGGTTTTCTTCCTCATGTCACGGTGTTACCCTCACACATGGTCTCTAACCTGCACGGTCACTGAACTTTCTAACCGTGTGACGCGCAGATGTTGTCCTCCAGCCCAAACCGGTTTGGCTCAGTGGATAGAGCATCAGCCTGTGAACTCAAGATGTTGTCCTCCTGCCCGTGGCGGGAGCTGAGCATCCCTGTGATATTGCTGCCTGGTGGGCACTCTGCTCGCCCCTGCCTGCGTCTGGGTAAGAGCTGTGCTCCCTTCTCCATGTCCAGGCTTTAAGTCTGCTGTCTGGCTGCTGGGGTCCAACCCCAACGGGTCCAGGGGTCCCCAAAGGTGTGTACGGAGTCGGCGAAGAAGGAATGACACGGAGACAGCTTTCAGTTGATCAGTAGCCTTGCCAGGATCTCTAGCCACAATCTCCAGCCAAGTTCTGTGTCCATGTTCTCTTGCTAGGTTCTCCCGTCAGG